AACAGCTTTCCCAAATACTTAAAAATACTGGGGTTCAGCAGGGTATGGTGGCACAGACGGTACTTGAGAGGCAGAGGCAGGTGGATCTCTGTGAATTCAAGGCCAGCCTGGTCTACAGAGCTAGTTCCAGGATAGCCAAGGCTATCACACAGAGAAACCTTGTCTTGAGAAATAGAAAAAGAAAAGAAAAAAGAAAGAAAGAAAGAAAGGAAGGAAGGAAGGAAGGAAGGAAGAAAGAAAGAAAGAAAGAAAGAAAGAAAGAAAGAAAGAAAGAAAAGAGGGGTTCAGGGAATGGTGGCTGCAAAAGAGGGGTTTGAAGCCTCGAACTAAAGACCAGGCAGCTGGGCTGGTGGCACAGGCCTGGAATCGTTGGCACGTTGAAGGCTGCATTGGGAAGGCCGCAGGTCAAGGCCTGTGTGGAGTGCAGAGTGAGTTCAAGGCCAGAGTTAGCAATTTAGTGAGACCCTGTCTCAAAAATAAAAACTTACTCTGTATGCTGAGTATTAGCTTAGTGGTAGCGTGCATGCCTGATATGTGTGAAATCGGAAGCTCAAGCCCAAGAACAACAAAATATACAAAACAAACCCCTAAGCATTGTGAAGAAACCGGGACCTGTATACCACTGAGGAAAATATCCACAGACCAGCAGCCATGCAAAACAGTGCCTCAGATAAGCCAATAAATAAAATCCAGACACGAAACCACCGTGTGTCTGGCGATTCGATGTGTGTGGGAAGTCACACAGAGGAAGTCAGGAAAGACGGTGATGCTGGCACAGTGTCCTGGGCGGTTGGAGCAGCTCTGTGGACTGGGCAGGGTCATATGTGTCTCCTAGTTTTAGGGATGCACATGTTGAAGTGTTTAGAGATCACGGGCCTCGGGCTTGCTAGCTAGTGCTCAGTGATGCTCCGTTTAGCCTCACTGGTGGGGACCCACGCTGAATCTATAAAGCAATGAGAGACAGAGGTTTGGGAGACGGCTCAGGGGCGTAAGAGGGCTTGACCTTGTAAGCATGGGTGCCCCAAGCACCCATGGCAAAAGCTGGGCATTGTTGAACGTGCCTGTAACTCCAGAACTCGGGGAGGGAGGCAGGTCCGTTGCAGGAGAACCTGATGGCCGACTGGCCTAGCCAAAACAGCGAGCTTGCGGTTCAGTGAGAGACTCTGTCTCAAGGGAATTAGACAGAGAGCAATGGAGAAAGAGATCCGCTGTCCTGCTCTGGGGAAGACGGGTGCCGCCCCCACCCCTCAGGGCAAGCCTTCACAGTACGGGCAGACTTAGAAAATCAGTGCTGGGCACCATTCAAGATTCTAGTCTGATTGGTCCAGGGTGCAGCCTGAGCATCAGAATCTTCAGGAGTTCAGAGTGAATGTCAAGTGTAGCCAAGGGCAGGCCTTGTTCTGCCCGGCAGCATCTTTAGTCTTTGGCCTTGCATTCATCCAGGGGGCAGTTCTGCTTGCCCCAGACACTGCCTCTCTTTCCAGTATAGGCTGGGGCAGGCAGTAACTCGCCCCACCGTCAACCAAGGGTGTGCTCACCTTGGCCAGGACCGAAGGCTGATCCCAGAGGCTAAGGAGAAGGCAGGAGAGCCTTTGTTCTTTTAGTGCTGTGGTCTGAGAGAAGAAGAGGGGCGGGGTAGGTGATGGGCAGAGACACAGGGAGGTGTGGAGCAGAGGCTTTTCCTGTGTGCTGGGTGAAGGGATAGGCTCTGGGAGGCCCCAACCGCCTGCCTGCTGTGTGTGAGCCCTTCTGGAATATCTGGAATAATTAGCAAATGAAAACAGCGTGTTCTGCAGGGGAATGCCAGGCTGGCCTCAGGCCAGACTCAAGGACTGAGGGACAAGGGGAATAAAGGACGAGGGGAAAGAGGGGCCCGTGGAGGCCTGGCAGGACTGTTCTGAACAGCACTGGGTGCTGCTGTTCTCTCTCTGTGTGTGTTCCTGTGTGTGCACCTGTGTGCAAGACAGCTGCTCGCGGGGATGGGCCGGGCACGAGGGTGCTACGCAGGGGAAAGTGAGGCAGTGGTGGTAGGGGAAACGGGTCCCAGGCAAACACATCTCAAGTGAGGGGACTGAAAGGGACAGCCTGAGGGCCACCCAGACATACACACCCTGTGCCTTGGTTTTACTATCAGAACTCCAGCAGCCTAGAACTTCACAGTCTGGGGGTGGGCATGAGTCTCAGCACTGAGCCTTACTTTAAGGTGGGCTCCTGCCACCCCAAGCCTGCATCAGGCTGGGTCTGGTAAACACACGTCAGAGCAGACGGGAGGCTCCTCTGACCTCCCGCCCTGTCTGTCCCTCCAGGAAAGGGCTAAGGGAGGGTGGTGCTGGAGGGAGTCCTGGGATTCTGGGGCGGGCGAGCCTGGGCAGGCCCTTGTGGTGGGGGATGGCTTGAACCAGGGTACAGTGGCCTTTGGAGTCCTTGGGGAGGGGTGGCGCTGACCTTTCTCTGTCTCTTGTTCCTTTGGGCCTGCAGGCCCAGCTCTTCCGTGGTTATGGATGGAGGTACTGAGGTGTGGGATACAAGGGCTCCCGAGAGAGCCACCCCTCGGCCCTTTCTTCCCTAGGGATCTAGGTTGAGGGGAGACCTTCTACAAATCTTCTCTGTCCCAGTTTTTGGTTATTTCCCTGTTGACATTGGAAAGAAATATGTCAACTTCCCCTCCTCGAAGTTACCACATTTGACTCTGCCTTTCCCCAAAAAAAGCTGGAATGATGAACCATGTTCAGGTTTTTTAAAGTTTTATTTTGAAAAAAAAAAATTATCGTAAAGAACTTTAAATGAAAAAGGTTAAATTGCCCCACATGGAGGGTAGATATGGATACCAGCCCCAGGGGTCAGGGTGGAGCAAGACCTGGTTTCCCCCAGTGCAGACAGGGGGCATAGGGTTGTCTCCTTCCTGGTTCCAGTGCTGCCAGCAAGCTGGGCATCCCTCCCAGTGAAGTCTTAGCTACAGCTATATGCACTACGTTAGTCTCTCCCCCCGACCTAGCAGCTTGGCTGCCCCTGCCCCAACCACCCCAAACCCCAACTTCCTGTTGCTCTCAGCCTCAAGTCAGCCTCAATCTCATTTGCAGCCTCCTCTCTGCCAGCGATGGGCCAGGGAAAAGGCCCCAGAGGCCATGGAGACCATCTCCCCCACCTTGCTGCCCCCTCCCTATTTCTGCCTTCTCCGTTCCTTCCCCCAGTCTCCTGCCACCTCTCTCCCTAGCCAAGGCTGCCAGGGCCCTGGGGAAGCTCTGCCAGGAGGGGCCTCCAGGGGGTTAATTTGCCGTTGTCTAATTAGCATTTGTTGGTACCTGGGAACTTTCTCTGGGTAGAGACCCGGGGAAGCAGCAGGGGTGGGTGAGGAGAAGCAGAGCCTTGAAGAGGGCCCTGTTCAGTTCCTCCCTGGCCTGGCAGGACCCCTCCAGGCTTCAGTGCTCACAGTGCAGAGGCCAGGGGCGGCGCCTTTGCCAGTTTGAGGGCTTGGGGGGGACATAGGTCAATGAAACACTGTGTATATGGGGGTTGCTGATGAGGGGGAGGCAGCAGTTTTGGTCCTGGGCCCCCAGTTCCCAGTCTTCTGGGCTTGGATATGAGGACACCCCCAGGTGGCAGCAGTGTGGCCTCACGGAGCCAGCCTTCGGAGACCTGGCCCAGTCCCTGCCGGGGTGCTGAGATGTCCATGGGCCTTTTTCAGGAGGCAGTCTGGGCCCTGACTTGGGCACTGTCCGGAGATGGGGTGGGGCCTGACTTCTTCTTACAAGAAGGCACCCACACTGGCCCAGTCCTGCAGGTCAGCGGCCAGGGTGGCGTCCCCTGCTTCAAAGAGGGGCTCTGGGGGCAGGCAGCCACTGCCGTTCTCATCCCAGGGATGCTGGAGGAAGGATGTGGCCAGAAAGGTCTCATCAAAGTCCAGGCTATCAGCAGCCTGCTCCACTGGAGGTCCCCAGGTCGCAGGGCAATCGATGTGGTGGCCGTGGACGGTGAGGTCCACATCTCCATGTGAGGCGGGGCTCAGTGGGGGGCTTAGCTCCAAGGCCTCCAGGGAGCTCAGCTCTTCACCCAGAGTGCCAGCCTCGAAGATGGCCTCCCAGTCAAAGTTGCCTTTGAGGGGTTCCAGCTCACCCTGTTCCTCCTGGGTCAGCAGCAACGTGCTGGGAGGCCTCAGGACCTTGGCCACCCTCTTGGGCAGCGGCTGCTTTCGCTTATGCCCCAGCCTGCCCTCTCCTGTGCCCCAGCCCCCCTCCCCTGTGGCCTCCTCGAACTCCTGCAACAGCTGCTGGGCCTCCGTGTTCACGGTCAGAGGCCCACCCCAGGGGCCAGTGCTGGGTTCCTGTGAGGCCTGGCGGGCAAAGGCAGGGTGGATGTGGACCGGGGGCAGCCTCCGTTTCTTGAAGGCCCCACTGAGCAGGCGCTCTGCATACTGGGGGTCAATGCGCCAGAAGCCCCCCTTGCCGGGCTCGTCCTTCTCTCGAGGCACTTTGATGAAGCACTTGTTCAGGGACAGGTTGTGGCGGATGGAATTCTGGGTACAGCGAGAGAACAAGAGAAAACGCACAGGGGGATCAGTGAAATGGCGGTGGAGTGGCACCGGGCACGCCTGCATGCTCCCTGCATCTCTTCTCTGACTGGCTAGGGATGGATCAGCCCGATGCCCCTGCCCAGGCAGCTGTAGCTCCAGGACTCTGGGACACCAGCCACAGGGCATGAGGAGCCCGGAGTGTGGGGAGAGGGGGCTGTGGGGAGGGGGGGGGGCTTTTGTTCTCTGTTGCTGGGATATCTGCCTGCTCAGTCATCCGAGCTCTGAGCCACAGGGTGGCTCTCAGTGCCACCCCCCCCTCCCCCTCCCTCCCTCCCTCCCTCCCTCCCTCCCCCTGCTGCTTGCAGGTCCTGGCCAAAGCCCTCAGCTCCCCCACGGCCTGGACTGCCATCTCCCTCTGCCTGGCTGGTTCCCTCTGTTTGTGAAGTGAGTGGGTTAAGGGAGGGGGTTGGGTGACAAAGGAGTGTGTGTGTGTGTGTGTGTGTGTGTGTGTGCGGTGGGACATTTAGTGACTGCTTGTTTGTTGAGCCAGCTGCTGGCCTAGGCCTTCACCCCCCACGGCCTTCTCTTTCCACCCAACCCTCAGTTGATCATTACCCAGCCAAGTGCAGAAGGCTCATTCCTAGGGCCTGAGTTGGCCCAGCCCTCAGTAGGGAGAGGATGGGGGTCTTCTGACCCAGGGCCAGGGCCATTTGGAATGGCTCAGGACTGCCCTTGGGTGCCTCAGAGGAGACCGGGCAACCCTAGGCCTCTGTCTCCACCACCTGAACCCTGCTCTTGAAAGTTGTCTAAAGCACTGTCCACTTGGCCTTATCTTGCCTTGCTCGCATTTGGTTGCTTAGTTCTGGTCACACCATGCCAGTGTCCAGGATCCCAGGCTAGGTTAGCAAGGCAGGTAGGTGCGTGGTGAGTGCCCCTTCAACCATCGAGGCTGTGTGTTTACACGGCAGCCTGGGCCCACTGGCTGCCCTGTGCCAGGTTCCAGAGACTTGGAACCCGAAGCCATTGCAGCAGCAGCGCCTCTGTGGAAAGCACCCGACTCAGGTAATTGCCCCCCAAGGGAGGCTGGCTGAGAGGGGGGGTGGAGGCAGGAAACTGGGGAGGAGTTGAGGTGGGAGGCTGGGTCAGTGGCTTTAGGATGATCTCATGACCCCTCCGCCTGGATGACTGATCTTCACGCCCATCCTGCTCATCTCTGCCCTACTCTCGAGACCAAAGGCAACAAGGCAGCGTGCAGAACCTGGCAGGGAGGCCACCTGCGTTCCATTTTGAGTCCAGTTCCGATAAAGCATCTTGGTCAGAACTGTGTCTAGGAATTCTGGGATGTAGGACAAGAGTGTTCTTTATAGTATTGTCCTCATTGGAGGCTACACCTGGCCTGCAGAACCAATGTGCCCTACTGGTCCCTCTTCCCCTAAAACTTCAACTTCTGTACCCCAAAGCCCTGGCTCCAAGAGGAGAATTTCCAGAACTTGACAGGGGCCCTCTCATGTGAGGCCTGACCTCAAAGCCAGGTGTCTCCTTGGCCTTGCAGAGCCTGCAATGGGAGTGAGGAGGGAGTGGCCACCACCCACACCTCTGCTCCCCTACCTGCCAGGTGGGATCCGCATGGCGGAAGTAACAGAAGTTGTCCGTGATCCACTTGTAGATGGCCGACAGAGTGATCTTGGTGGCCTTGCTGGCCTGCATGGCCATGCAGATGAGAGTGGCGTAGGAGTAAGGAGGCTTCACATGCGGGTTGGTGGCGTAGTCCACGTCGTCGGGGGGCGGAGCCTGCAGCCCCGGGGGCGCGCTTCGAGATGTGCAGGACGACGTGGGTTTGCCAGGTGTGTGAGGCTGCCCAAGGCAGGCTGGGTCTGCAGCCAGGGGTGACCCGGGTGCCACCGAGCCTGGCACTTGGTGGTAACCGTGGGGGTCGGTGCCCCCCGGGGGCAGAGTGGGGGCCTTGGCGTTGAGAATGGAGAATTCCTGCAGCCACTGCAGGCTGGTTAGGCTGTCATCCAGGGCGTCCGGTTCCTCCATGCTGCCCTCCGGCCCGGCCTCCTCCCTGGGCCCTGCTCCGCAGAGGCGCAGCCAGCTCTCCGCCATATCTGCGGGGTCTCTCCGAGGGGGCGGTCAACATCCACGGGCTGAGCCGAGTGGCCAGCCGCGCTCTCCTGCCCGCTGGTACCCGAGGCTTCAGTTACACAGCCTCCAGAACACTCACTTCCATTCCGCGACCCGCGGGGTCGCCTTCTCCGAATACGAATGTGGGGCCTGCGGGAGCAACGCGGAGCTGAGCACTCTTCCCCGACCCTTAGGTGAAGGGTGCGCCTTAGGGGGAACCCCTCAATTCTTCCTCGAAGCCTGTGGCGAGGTCAGGGTCAGACCCCTTGTCTCTACCTCTCTCCATCTGCCCTTCGAGGGGGCATTGGCGACAACGAGGGAAGAAGGTAGGGAGGCCCAATCTAACTTTTCTCCCAAAGAGTGGCAAACTACGGTCACACCCCAATAATCCAGAAGGGCAGTGCGACGCGGCTAGGACAGGGGAGGTCATCTGATCCTTGGAAAGCGGTATTAGGATGAAGGGTCCCGGGAAAGAAAGGAAGGACACAGGACCGAGTTATGGAGAGGCAGGAAGCGATCTCCCCCAAACTCCTCAGATTTCAGTCATCGGCCCCACCACTTTCGTGGGCGAGCGATGGAATGGCTAGCCAGCAGATCCCGACGCCCTCCCATTCCGTGGCCCACAGCCCTGCCCAGTCCCTTACCTGGCTCAGAGCGCAGCCGGGCCAGAGGAAGGTTCTGGAAGAAGTTCCTCCCACCTCCCGCGGCTCTCTGTCCCCAGCTCGAGGGCTCTGCTGGTGCCCCTTGTCGGGCCCCCCCTCGCCCGACGGCGCTTCTCTGAGCGCCGACGGCCCGGGGACCGGCATTAAGTAGACGCTCGGAAGGCTTCTCCTGCTGCCATGGCGACGCTCCGCCCCTATAAACAGCTTCCGCTGCTGTCATTGGCCAACATGTCTCCAAGGAGACCGCGGGCCCTTGCTGCTCCTCTGGCGGCAACTCTCTGGAACTCCTTCGTTCTGCCGCCCTCTCCCGCGCCACCCAGCCCCCTACCCGCCACTGCGACTGGGTTCTGTGCATTCCCGCCCGAGAGCCCCGCGCTAGGTCGCACGGCGGGCACTCGGCTCCCGCCCGAGGCCCCTCCCCCTCGCGTCCGGTATGACCGCTGCGGGAACCGAGCCCCGGATTCTGGAGACCAAGCCTCCGGGAACCATGCCTTTTGAGTCTTTTTCCCTCACTGGTCTGCCAGTGGCCTTTGTTTGGTTTCTGAGACCTTTTCCTGGTCCCTGAGTGTCTTCTCTGGTGCCCGCAGACGTGTGTGACTCTCTGATGCCACCTGTCGCTTATATCCGCAGAAACGTCCACACAGCTCGCAGACACACCGAGGAGGGTAGGGTAACCCAGCGTCTCCCGGTAAGCAGCTTCTCTACTCGCCCTGCTCAAGTTCCCGGACGCCGGCATTCCAGGGGCATCGGCTGAGGTGTCTCTCCTCCCAGACAGCCTAGAATGCAGTGCCAGTGGATAAAAACAGGAAAGCCACGGCCTGCCACAGCCTCATAGAGAGGTTATTTGTTCTGCTAATTTAGCCAGGAACTGGTTAAGTGACAGGAAGCAAGAAGTATAAGGGACTCGGGGTCCTCGCCTTCCCTGCCGCCACCAGCTTTAATTATTGAGGAGCTGCAGGATTGGAAGTTCTCCAGTTTAAGGCGACTGTCGGGGCAGACAGAGCTCAGCTAGAAATGGGAGTTGGGCGGGAGGCTCTGCATCAAGATCATGCAGAAATTTCTGTCTGGTACTCAAGAGTATGCCTTGCCCATTCCTCCACCCACAAGTAAAAATACTGAAGAATGCTTGTTCGTTTACAAATGAACTTACTTCGTGGTTAATAGCTCCCCTTTCCCTTGTACACAGTTTTATTCATTTTGAAGCATCATGCAGCAATCCATAAATATTGCATCTTGATGTCCCCACTGTAGTGTGCCAACAAGTGTACTCCAGGCAGTGTGAAGGGCACACAGACGGCACAAACAGCGCGCGCACACACACACACACACACACACATACTTGCACACACCAGGCGTGCAGGCCCTAAAAGTGAGCAACCAGCATGCCAACACCAGGTAGACAGGACTAGCTCCCCAGTGAAATAGATGGCTTAGTGTTTGGGTCCAGGAGATGCCCCAGTGGGTATCAACTCTGGGAGGGATGAAATTAGGTAAAGCAAAGAGGCTCTTTGAGGATACTAAGATCACTGTAGAACCCAGAGCAAGAAAAATGAGGTGGTGGTGTGGTGAGGAGCCAAAGGCCTTGAAGGAGAAGGCCCCCACCCTACTCTCAGACAAATGATGGACCGTGTTGAGTGTAGCAGCTGATGGAGGTCCACCCCTGTGGGTGGGCTAGCGTGAGGGGGCAGGAAGATCAAGGCAGAGTGATGGGCGCTCTAGCCTTACATACTGGTTCATGGGGCTTAGGCCAACTGAGCACTTGCTGTGAGGAAGGGGGAAGGGCTGATCATAATGGCTTTTTCTTTCTTTTTTGAGAGTTCCTGGCCACTGTGGCTACTGTTTACCTGAACTTCCTTCATCTCGGCTACCTCCCTCCTCCTTCCAGGTCACACCACACTGTGAATACTGCTTGCCTCCTGCCTGCCAGGGGAGTGGGTCTGTGTGCAATCGCCCCAATGCTAAGGGAACTTCCCTGGTCTTGCTTCATTCTTTGAGGAAGTGTGGTTATTGCTTAGCTTTTACTGGTGTAAACCTTAGTGTTGAAGGGGTCGTCAGAATGCTGGGGGAAGGGCATCAAGCGGGATTTGAAATGGCAGAGTCCACAGAGTGTTCAGAAAGGGAGCCTGGGGTCTCAAACTCAGTCTCTCGCACCTCGGGCTCGACAGCAGCCTCCCTCTAGGAGTGTGATTTCTACACTCCTGGTCTCTGCAACCACACACAAGGAGAGCTGCTCAGGTCTGTAATCCTAACGCTTGGGCAGAACAAGCAGGAAAACGAGAAGTTCAAGGTCACCCCAGCTATGGCAGCAAGTCCGAGGGCAAACTCTCCACTCCCCACCCCCATCCCTCAGGACCCTGGGCAGTGGTGTTTTAGAAAGTTTTTGTAGAAGCACACTTGTCAAGTCTAAAGCTGATCCCAAACCATCTCAAGTTCCACTAAACAACTACCTTTTCCAAAAGCTAGTAAACAGGCATTTAAGAGCCATGTGAAGCCCACTGAGCTGAAAAGGCTGGGACACCCAACAACTTCCTGCCAGCTTGCTGCCATGGCTTTGTCCGAGCGCTGCCTGGACGGCACCTCTAAGCACTGGTGAGCCCATGCCCTTTCATCCATCAGGTCCAAAGGCAAGGGAGGAGTACACTAGGGAAGGGAGGTCTTCTAATCCTTTGGTCCCCAGGTGATCCTGCAGCTGGCCTCAGAGCCTTGGTATTCCTTGCACCAAGTTGAGAACCACTGGTCCACAGCTTAGCCTAGTTTTTCAGCTATTAAAAGGGGGTGGAGAAAGGGTAGTTGGGTTTGAGACTCCCTCTCTCTCAATGGCTGCAGTGAAGATGAGCTATGGTGATGGTCAGCCCTAGCTAGCATTGTACACAGGGGTGGCCCAGCAGGCCTTCCTGACTGCACCTGAGGAGGACAAGGCGTTGTAAGGGTGATCATCCTAGCTGGGGGCACAGGAGGCACAGGAGAATGGCTGTGAGCAGATTTGGCTTTCAACCAACTCTTTGGCTGCCACCATCTCCTTTAGGCTTGAGAAAGGAACTCCTGGTGCTCCGTGAGGCCAGAGTGCAGATGACCTCCCTCCTGGAGCTAACCCCGACCACTTCAAGTTAGGTTTCTAATTGGTCATGAGGTGCCAGCGACCAGAACCTGTGCATGGGAGTCTGAAACAAAGTTGCCCAAACTCCCCAGTCTTCTTGGTCACTCCTTAGAGGAGAGGAGGCTAAAGGAAGAACCCTCAGCTCAACCGGCCCACTGGGCTTGGCTGCTGCGTTACAGTTCACTGAGCAGCATCAGCCCACACCAGGAAGGCTTCAGGTTCTGAGAGGGAGGGATCATGACTACAGGAGATGAGGATGGCAGAAGGCTGCTCTCCGCATCCTGCCTCCATGTGAGTACAGAGTCCACATGTCTTGTGGAAGATGCCCAGAAGGCCTGTGGTCCAGCGAGGACAGATGGAACGCAAGGACAGGAGGGGAGCCCAGGTCCAGGTGCAAGTGCCCTCAGACAGCCAAAGGATCCCATACACCAGGCCTGTTCTCGTCTGCGTCCTCCAGGTCCGCGTCCTCCAGGCTGCTAGATGAGAAGTGCCGGCACCGGGCACTGTGATGGTCGACCATGTCATCATGCTGCCAGGTACCTGGAGAAGAAAACCAAAGGCTATGGGAGCCATAACAGATCAAGTCCACATGGTGTCTCCAGCAGGGCAGCACAGGAGCCAACACAGAATCTAGTGTGTAACCTGAGACGCCCGAGTCATTCAGGAGAGGAAGAGCAGGGGAAGGAGGTGCTGACATGTTCCAGGTCTGTTCCTCCCTAACTAGCCATGGCCTGTGACCCACGGGCAGACGGACAGACATGTTGTTCATGAACTTACCTAGCGTCCATTTTGCATGTTAAGTGCTTGGTTCTGAGACTTCGCCTATGTTACGAGGCTGAGCCAAGCAGATGTGCAAAGAGCACACTTCTGACCTACAGCCTCTGTTTGCTGTGGGAGGTGCTATGGGAGCCAGGGGTGAGAGGGGGCTGGCAGCATAGCAGAGCCAGGGAAGGGACGCCTTGGGTAGGACAAAGTGTGGTGTTCAGAGCCCCCCTCTATACCTCTACTTATCTCTTCCTCACCCGAGCACCTGGGGCTCCCTTGCTCCCAGCCCGACTGCCGCTGTGTCCACAGTGAAGAGTCATCCCTGCTATCTCTCTGCGTCTGCTCTGATGCAGCCTACCAACTCCTGTGTTCGCTCTCGCTGCTCACATTCACATCTGCATTGCACCTACCTGGGCCTCGTCCCTAAGTCATAGGTACCAGGGGGTCTGATCTTTGACAGGTCACTTAGGGCCTTGGCTTTCTCCTATCTCCAGTGAGGTGAGTGTGGCCCTCACAAGTTTGCTGTGAGGCCTGCATGTGGTCACATGTTAAGTATGCCCAGCAGCATAGCTGACTCAGAAATGTGCTGTGGCCAGTTCCCTGCCAGCTTGGTTTGAGGGACCGTCATGTGTTCCCTGTGTCCCTCTAGCTGCTATCTAGCTGGCACGTTACCTCTCTGTTTCATTCTCTCTAGAAGAGCTAGTGTGTTCTTTATACAATGACGGGTAAGGCCTTACTCTTTCCGGGCTTGGCATGTTTAGGGAAGGGACTTCATCTCATGGGCTGTTAGACAAACCTCTGCAGGAACTACTTCTGCACCCTGGAGCTCAGAAAGGTGTGTGGCAGCAGGGATGGGGCGGGGGCGGGGGGCTTTTCAGTGAGGTCAGCTAACTGTAGTGTTGTGCTGAGACCAGCTTACAAATGGTCAGTCAGCCTCAGATTCAGCAAGCTCAAGACATAAAGCCCTTTAATGGCAAACGTGCCAAGATGAAACAGTTGCCAACTGCTCATTCCTCACGAGTGTTCTGGTGTGGGTGTTTTCTCCTGCGGCTAGAGTAGCAGTCCACAGTGGAGCCCCAGGAGAGGAGGGGGACAGGGTCTTTCACACCTGGGCTGTTTGCTACTTGCATCATGAGTCAAAGGTGCTTCTTCCTATCGGCAGGCAGCACTCTGAGCGGATGGAAGCGTATCAGGCAAAGAATGTTCAGTTAGGAACCCCAGATAAAATGAGTGGTTTGTTCAGTTATATAATTTGGTAGATGTCATACCTATTCCTCAATGTCTATGGGACAGGACTCCGGAGCTGCGGCTGTTCAGTAGGAGAGACCAAAAGCAAATGGTGAACAAGAGAGAAGACACACATGCACACACAGTAAAACAGCAGCAGCCACATCACTACCATCATGGTCACTGCGGCCAGCATCCATGACACTGGGCTGTCCTGGGTTGTCCGGACCAAATTCATAGATGTCCTGATGCAACATTTGCTGCCCCAGGAACCCCAGCCAGGCTGTGGACTGTTCCTTGTGGAGCAGGTAGGGTGCAGATGGACTGTGTGTAGTGAGGGTATGGTGAGAGAATGAAGCATCCTTTCCCTGGAAGGACCCACAGGGTCCATAGCAGCCCCGTGGCTGCTGCCTCTCTACAGCGTTGATTCCCAGGGGATGTATGTCCCCCATGAGTGTGCCATCACATCTGGCTGAACCCAGGCCTCTGACAAGAAAATAGAACTTCAAGACTTGAACCCCCTGTGGGGGTCGGGGGCACAATGGTGTTTTCCATTTGGTTCCCTTTTGGGGCATCCAAAATGAGGACGAGACCCCCAGAGGCCCACACAGGGACACTTGCATGGCGCTCCGTGTCCCTCCTAACATGCTGATCAAAGTGACGGCTCTTTCCCCTCAGAGCCTGCTACCGCACACATTCTCAGGGCTCTCCCTTTGCAGCCCCTGCTGGCCTGGAACTTGATATGCAGATCAGTCTGGCCTCGAACCCAGAGAAAATCTTCCTGCCTCTGTTTCCAGAGTGCTGGGAAGGAAGGTGTGCATGACCACATCTTAAATCACGAGGCTTGAAGACTGAACTTCAGGTATGTGTGTGTTTTTGGATTGTGCTGCATAGGCCTACTCCTGTGTTACTCAGTCGTGTGACAACTGTTTGTAATTTCACTAAAAATCCACCATCACATAGCACGCAGAGCCTCCTGAGAATGTTCACTGCCCCACGTCACTCTCCCGCCACCCATGTAATGTTCCTGGAAGCCACAGAGACTTCACATGGTCATGTAGTTCAAGTTCCTATCACATTCCCCTTTCAACCTTCAGCAGCTCTTTCAGAATGTACTGGGCTCAAACATGAGGAACCAGAAATCTACACTCTGTCTTAGAGCCTTTGAAGGCCTGGAAGCTTCTTAGGGGAAGAGCTGCAATGGACAGGCACCCTCTTAGGCCCTTACAACCTTGGGGAGGGTGGGTTTCTTGGCAGAAATGATCTCTACACCCTCTGTGGCATTCCTCTGAGTGTGCTCTCCATGTTCCATGTGTCCCCCATGAAGGGGTGGCACCCATGAAGATGGAAACAGACTCAAGCAGGGGCAGGACCTATGGGAAGTGACCCTTGTGGGGAAAAGAGCATTCGAGGAGAGTGAGGAGCCAGCCAGCCTGTGAGCACAGCCGAGATGGGAGTGAGCACACTGTGCGCTCAGGCCGGGATGGGAGTGAACACACTGTGCGCTCAGGCCGGGATGGGAGTGAACACACTGTGCGCTCAGGCCGGGATGGGAGTGAGCACACTGTGCGCTCAGGCCGGGATGGGAGTGAGCACACTGTGCGCTCAGACCGGGATGAGAGTAAGCACATTACTGAGTGTGAAAGGCACTTGATCCGTGGAACCTACACACACACAGACTCTCCTGGCTTTGACCCAGGAGATATCACAGAGTACCCTGGCACCTTTGCTATCAGTGTGGTTCCGGCAGAAACAACGGAGGGGACACGTCTCCTCCCTGCAAGAGCCCTTGGACTACAAGTACACTTAAGTATGTATGTTTATGCTTGGAAGTGTCTGTATTCGCTTAAGTGCTGCTTATACCCGAGTCTCTCTCCTGACAGTGTCACAGCTGACTGATTTCATGTCTGGCCAAACTGAGAACCCCATTTAATCTTTAAAAGGCTGGCTCTTGACATTACTACAAGGAAGCCATGGCTGCTTGCTTCCTTTCTGGATTCTTCTGTCCCCATACTGCACCCCTCCCCATAATGAACACGCATTGACAAGCAGGATGTCAGGAGGCAGAAAGAACAAGCTTGGTCTCCATGGCACTGTGTGCTTCAACAGTGACAGCAGGCTCCCTCTGCCAAAAGCAGGGCTCAGTGTAGATGCCCTTGAGGAGAGGCTGGCCGGCAAAAAGCCACCACAGACACAGGCAAAGCTAGGCACAGGCACCATCTCACCATATGACCAACCAAGGATACCTTTCCATAATCCTTGCCACAGAAGCATGCCTGTCTTTGTTGAACAGAAATGCACACATTCCCACAAACTCTTCCCCTCAAAAACACTTCCGTGTGCTGCACACAGGCCCTTGCCGATTAGTCATTGGAAGCTTGTCTAGAGCCCTAAGCGAGAGCACTTTGTATGCACACACCAGTGAGCTTGCTGTCGGGCTGAGCAGAGGCAGGACAGTGCTGGCACAGAGTGAACATGGACTCTCACACAAGTCAGAGAACACAAATGAGTTAAAAGATGAGCAAACCAGACAGACAGGCCTACATTGGCATAAAGACATGGAACATGAACGGACAGATGGAAGCAAGGCCCGGAGTGTAAAGGCATGATGAGTGTGCTTGGTCTCCAGCAGCTCCAGTCCAGGCGTAACTGGGCAGGAGGTGGCCATACAGATCAATGTCCTCCTCCACCATGCTCGGCGGGAAGGGAGTGTGCCTGGGGCCTGTGCGGGAGAAGCAGGTGATCTGATGCTGTCTCTCAGGTCTCACTGAAGGCTGGGACCTGGGCAGTATCTGCAGGACAAACTAAATAGAGAATAACTGACGTGCCCTTGGGAAGGATGGAGAAAGTCTCTCCTGAGCAACTGGCTTCCCTTGCCACAGGCTTGTATGGGGCCAGGGCCTGCTGGGACCGTATCTGGCACAGGCTGAAGGAGAGTGGCGACCACAGAAGGTCCTGTGGCTCAATACCTTCAGCTACTTCGCCGAGCGAGTAAAGCACTGGACCCAGGAGTGGCTGTTCTGAAGCTGAAGCAGGTCTTCACTGGGGACACTGAGGGAATTACCAAGGACACTGTGAAGTGGGCCTCTGTGCTGGAACCAGGAGGGAAGGACATCTGGCCCAGCACGGCTCTTAGGAAGTGGGCTTTGATGCTGCTGAATGGGCACACTGAGGTCAGTGCTCGATTGTGATTCAGGATGGTTTCTCTGTGCAGCCCTAGCTGTAGTGGAACCTCTTCCTTCCTCCAAGTGCTAGGGTTAAAGGCATGCATCACCACCACCCGGCTAAATTTTAGTATTTTTCGGGGGGGTCTAGCTCCTGGTCTGCAGCTTGCAGTGATCCGGCTGCCTCTGTTTCACAAGTCTGGGATTATTGGCGTGTGCAGCGTGACTGGCCTTGAATAACTAAATGGCCACTTTGCAGATTCAGTTTGATGTCATGAAGAGCAATGGGCATGCTGAGAAGTTGGGGCCTCAGAGAGCCACGTATCCCTGCCCTCTGGCTTCTCATTTGGGATTCAAGGCTTGCATGTGTGATCAATGGAGACCTAAATCTCACTGGATCAGAAAGTCATTCACTGGCCTACAAAGTGCTTTTAGATTTCTCTGTTATCCTCAAACATGTGTCCCTTGCCGAGTTATGGTTCCCATTCTAAAAGCGCATTCCTCCTTTCCAGGGCCTCCATGGGGAGGTGTCTGTCTTCTCAGACTTCCTGAGGATGAACACAGGACAGTCCACCTGACATGGTGTCTGTAAGACTGTGCTGGAAGGTGGGGTTGGGAACTTTTGCCTGTTTTCTCAGGAGCTGCTCTTCGCCTCCTCTCAGCACCTACGCACGCCCTGGCCTTCCTAGTCAGAACTGCAGCACAGGCAGAGGGGACTGTGGGGAGAGCGGGGGAAGAGCAGAGGGTGTCTCCCGTCAGGTTCATGTTCAGCAGGCTGCCACTCACCGGGTAAGCAGACCTCAGAGCACAGCTTATTGTCCAGTGCTTTCACGCTTGCGATGTCAAAGTCATTGTTATTGTCACACTCCGTGCCTAGAAATGCGCATGTCCTCTGGCCTGTAACGGAGTTAAGGCAGTTAGACAAGGGCTGGCTATGTTTTCTCTACTTTGCTGTCCTCAAAATAAAAGTCTTAAGGATGGAGACAAAAAGAAAAAATCAAATCATGTGTCAAAAAAAAGACAATAAACCGAGTGAATAAAGAGAGGACAAAGGAACCGAGTTGTGTGGGCATGTCCGGGTACTCGCATCGTCCTGGCCGATTCCCTCCGGCCCCTTTCTAGTTGCTGTTCCCTAGTGAATCTGATCCCTGCAGAGTGCTGCCAGACATGTCGGACAGACCACTCTGGAGGACAGCTGCACCCAGGCCAGCCCGATGATGCTACGGCTGGCAGAAGCTGGAGACAGCCATGAGACAGTACCCTGTCCAGGCCTGTGACTCTCAGGCATAAGCAGAGTATGCTTATGACCAAAGGTTCTGCAGAATCATATGCAAAAAACGACAACTCACGGCCTCAGTTCCATAATTTTGCACGTTGTATGAGAATGACGGTTGACAAAATTATGTTTTACTCTCTCTAGAGACTGAAGTTGTTACTCTATGTTTCCAGCGACTGTCCAGAAGGCCACAGTCAGTGAGAACATGAGGGAAAGTTGAAGTGATGTTTTTCTTTGGTGTTCCCCCTTTTTCTCAGTGAAGGGAGGAGAGGAAAACCCTCCATGTAAACTATGAAGAGCCGGATGGCAATAGCCTGAACACCCTGTGTGTCTTAGGAGAATCATTCTTTGGGGAAACCATCCCTCAGGGTGACTTTGGCCTGAGCTCTGAAATGATCTTCAGAGGCAGTACAGCAGCAATCCCTGGGCAGATGTTCAGGAATGAGAGAGGCCATCCTTGGGACTATTATCTTTGAGCCTCTTGCCAGTGGAAGCTGTCGAGTCCACAGCACCCCTGACACCCTGAAGCCAGGGCCAGCGCTAAAGCAGAAGCAACTAGGATGACACTTGCTGGAGCAGCCGCGTCCAGGCCATGGCGCACATGCCCGGGAGCAGAGGGAAGGAGTCTGGCTTCTGGGATAGGCATGGTGACTTCTCTGACCGCCCCCTCTTCTTCCTCCCCTGCCCTGCAGGACAGGTCTTGTCCAGCCTCACTGGACACAAAACTGTTCCTACTGAAGACCAAAGGCTACAGTGCTGCCTAAGTGAGCCCAGCAGAGAAGCCCGTGCTTCCTCAGCCACACCGTCTTAGATGTTCTTCACTAAAGCAAAACCAGACCAGCTACCAGAGTCCTGCCTTTCCTGGGTGCCAGGGCATCCCAGGAGCTCAGCGAGAGAGCTGCCACAGGAGGAGGCGTGGGAAGAGAAAGTACACAGTGTCTTCTGCAGCATTCCCTCTAATCCCGTGGATTCTGAGTCCCAGGAAGAGCTGAGAAAGTCACTAAGGTCACTGATACCCTGTTTGCCTGACATGCCATCAAGATAACCAGTCCCCACAGCCACCTAGCTGAGCACTGCCACTAAGTCACGGTAGTTCCCCTTTCTTTACCCCTTAGCAGATACCCAAGAAAGCAACATGGAAGAGCAAGCACCGGGTCTTTTACCATCTTCTTGCACGGGCGATCTATCCTCTTCCTCTATGATATCATTTCCCTAGGACAGAAGGAAAGCCCCATGAGTCTACCAGGAAGTCAGAGGAGCCAAGTGAAGACAAGCCATCCCTGCGGAAGTAATTTCCACGGTCTGCATCCACGCACATTCTTCCCACCATGGCCAGGGGGTGCTCGGTCAGTCTTAGAAAGGGCTGTCAGGAATGTCCTTATTACAGCCTACCTGACACTAAAGCAGAAACAAGAGTCAAATGAAAGGGCAAATCAAAGTGAGGTATGGGCACATGCCTGTAATCCCAGAACTTGGAAGACGGAAGCAGGAAGGCCACCTGAAGTGTGACCTGTAAGGCCAGCTTGGCCCTACCATAGCAAATTCCAGGCCAGCCTAAATTCCTAATGAGTGTACATAGTTAAGCCCTGTCTCAAACCAGCAAAAGAGACAAAATATAAGAACAAATCATGAGGACATAATGCTTTCAGAAACTCTTTAGGGGCCAGTTACTGCCCAGATGCCCTGAAAGGATCCCTGTCAACAACAGTGGGCCCTGGGCTACACAGCACACTTGGGGCATCTACACCCACAGCTCTGCACAGGGCTCCTGAGTGGGGTGTGGAGTGTGTCCTGTGGGGAGCACCTGAGACCCAGTGGTCCCAGCACACAGACTAACTGCATGACAGCAGGCATGAGAAGGGTCTCTGAACTCACTCCCTGGATATCACACTAGAACCAGTGTCTCCTGCAAGCAGGACAGTGCCCAGGTCCCTACCCACACCCCCTTCTAAATGATCTACCCATGCCATCCAGGAAGGCTTCTCCAGTATTCCTCTACACAGCCATTCCCAGCTAACACCAACAGTTAGAGAAAACGGCTGTGGGAAAGGATGCTGCTCTCTGTCAACTACGTTACCTCTGCATCCTGTTCTCCAGCTGGAAGGTCAGCAAAATTGCTGTCTGGGGACTCTGCTGGTGTCCCCTGTAAAAGAGCAACAAACCCCAAGGGTACGGTCATCATAGGCTCTCCAGTTAAGCTCTTATGACAACAAACCCAAGCTGAAGCTTTCCTGAGCACAAGGTCTGTAGCATATAGAAGCCAGTCTAAGGGAGTGCCTTGCTCCCTGCAGCACCCCTGCAAGTACCTGGACATCTATGAAGCTGCCTAGAACCCATGTGTGAAGCAGAGAGCGAGGCAGATCAAGTGCACTTCCCTTACCTCTCCTTCTGAGGGAGCCCTGCTGGCAGCCAGGGGGGAGGGCAGAGCCTCTCCCTCTTCTTCTGTGCCAGGGGCGATGTAGGAGCCAGACATGGAGGACACGGTATCAGTGCTGATTTGGGAGGAGGCCATGGACATGACTGACTGGGCCAGGCTGCTGCTAGCAGGGTCTGTGGAGAAAGAGGTTAGGGGAGGGGACAGGACCATGACTATTAAGGAACATGTGCACGTCCTTTACTAGGGCCACAAAGAGTGGTGGACAAAAACCCCATGCTGCCCTCTCCAGAAAAAGGTTTAGGCTGAAGGTTTCCAAAATTCTGTTTTGAAACCCTGGGACTAAGGCGGTGTTGCAGCTGCTACAGTGTAGAGGGAACCTCATGCAGGAAGGTGAATGAGAGCCCCCTCCCCAGTATGGGACCTATTTAGTCACCAGCTCTGCTGTTCCCATCCCCAAAGGAAGTCACAGTGGAGCTGGGGACCAGTGGAGCGAGGTACATTCAGCCTCTCCCTGATCCCTCAGGTACCTTCTGGGGAGGAGATGGTAGAGGAGAGCGGAGTCCCTGTGCAAGACGACTGGTCGATAGCCCCTGATGATGACAGGGTAAGGTTCTCACTCTCCGGAGTCACATCACGTCCCTGGGGGTGAAGGACACAATGGGACATGAAACCAGCAAAAGCCTAGCATATGGGCAGAAGGGTAAGAGCAGAGCTGGGTAGGGACACGGGAAACAGACACCAGGAAGGACAAGGTGCTCTCTTGTGGGCATGAGTGACAGGAGAGGCGGTGCTGGCTTCTGTCAGCACTCTGTCAGCCAGGGCCTGGAGTGACTTTGTCCCAGGTCCTGCCTGAGGCCCAGCATCTGGTGGGGCACACAAAGGCAGCAGCTCCAGTGACACAGGCTACTCGGCAGCTGTCCCTGGGGGACATCCCGGGATTACGAACAGCTTTCCTTTAGAAAGAAACGAACATGAAACCAACAGGGTCCTCACTGCCTTCAGGACCCCTCCACACATAGGTTGGGAGCCCCTGCTCAGTGGATCTGAAACAAACTGGACCTCTGCTTTCCACCCGCCAGCCCCTGAACACAGCCTTGCCGTCACGGCAGGTCAGGCCTACACTGCTGAGGCTTCTCCTGGCCTCCCACATGTGACTATCAGGGGGCTTTGCAAGGCAGAGCTCTCACTATCCCTGGTCCTGCTCCAAGCTCCCTCTGAATGTTTCTCTCCCTATGCCTACGGACTTCCAAGACCCAGCAAATGCTCTCCCTCCATGACAGTTTTCCCGATGTCCTCCACTAAAGGAAACTGCACATCACGCTGCATGATAGTACTCTGTCTGCCCCCTCTCTCTTGAGATAGCCTCAGTAGCCGGTTGGCATTGAACCTGATAGATAGCCCAGGCTGGTCTCACACTTGTGACCCCTTGATTTAGCCTCCAGTGCTAGAACTACAGGCAGCCTGGGAGGTGAGGTAGGAGGATCGGGAATTCAAGGTCATCTCCAGCAACAGAGTGAACTATCTCAACCACCTGCCAGGTAGTCACTCAGGAAGGACAGGACAGCGGCAATGAACCACACACAGTGCTGGTAGTTGTGTACAGATGCCGTCCCAACTAGACATAAACTCCCGAGGATGGAACACCTCCCATCTGGAGCGCCTTTGGTACCCAGTATGCTGCCCTGGACACTGCTAAGGTCTGTGTGAGGGACGTGCATGGAGGAGAGCTGCAGGCATCTGTCCCCTGCTGGCCCTGCACATCTCCCAGCAGCCCTCTCGCTGTGGGTCCCGGCTCCTGGACCAATGCTGAAACTGACCACCCCAGTCCTAACTTCACGGTTCCCTTCCCTGTCTGGCATGCTGACCCACACAGCCATCTAGCCCACCATCACCCCACTTTCAAGCATGTCAGTGCCACAAGGGCCAGGGGGAGCCAGGCTGCAGACACTGGGGAACTCATAAATCTCAGGAAACCTCTGCAGCTACCACCTTGTACATTGCCGAAAGGCCTAGCGAGCAGATAAAAGCAGGGGAACCAAGGAGTCATGCAGACAGATGCCTGGTGCAAGTAACGCAGGGAGGGAGAAAGGCAGCTACCTCTTCAGGATGCTGGGCTGACAGTCTCTGAGACAGCTGAGTCTCCGACTCACTGCAAGAGTGCTCATCTTCCTCTTCATGTAGCACAGAAGAATTCTGGGAAACGGATCTGTAAAGTCCAGAGGAAGAGCAGTTGAATGCACTGTCCACACAGGAGATCGGAGCTGGCCCGATCTTGCTCAGGGCACACAGGGGAGGACTGGAGGAACCAGGCCCGCTCTCAGGGGCAGGACAGCGACTCCTCTGCCTCTAGCTCCTTGACGTTGAGAAAAACACTAGCAGCCTCCTCCCCCATCTCAATACCTTTATCTGTGAGACAGCCTCCTTTGCCATAGAAGCTGTGTTATGGTGTGTCCTATGGATTTATTTTTATTTTTTTATTTTTGTTTTTTTTCGAGACAGGGTTTCTCTGTGGCTTTGGAGCCTGTCCTGGAACTAGCTCTGTAGACCAGGCTGGTCTCGAACTCACAGAGATCCGCCTGCCTCTGCCTCCCGAGTGCTGGGATTAAAGGCGTGCGCCACCATCACCCGGCTGTCCTATGGATTTAAATGTTCAGAATATAGGGCCATTTGGTTCCTTTGACTTCAGATTAAGCCAGGGCCCCAAGGAATTCTGTCTATACTACTCAGTGTCCTCCTATACATGACTTTCCTCACCCCAACCATACCCTGCCAAAGAACACTCGGCCCTAAGTACCCACAGACATATTATTTCTATCCCCCTCACCACTGCAAGCATGCCTCTCAGGTCTTCTGTGAGTGAGCAGCCCTGGGGACTGGGAGAGTGTGACCTAGGTGTGACTACCATAACACTGAGGAAGGAAGGCGGGACACTGCTGGGCACTAACTACTTACTTGGATAGATTCTTTTTGAGTTTGAGTCCTTGGTTGCTGCAATCAGACAGGCGGTCAAGGGGGGACAGCGTCCTGACGGGGGGCAGGTGGCCATCACTGCCATAAGATGGTAGCATTCCTGAGAGGTGGCCATCTCCGAGAACATGCAGAGGAGGAACTGCTGGGGATGGGGTGAGGGGTCCATTGAGGGCCTCCAGGAGAGACACCACTTCGTAGCCTGGTGGGATATTCTCTGAGGACTACAAGAATCGAGACAGGCCAAAAATTAGGTATTTTTTTATATTAGGCCATGATCATGCTTCCTACTGGACATTAAAGATGGGTTTTGTTTTTAGGCTTCAGTTCTGGTAAGAAAGGCTTTGGTTAAACACGAGGAAGGCAAAGTGTTGAAGAGCCAGCCACAGGTCCTAAATGACCCTTCATGAAGTCCATTTTTCCGAAAATAGAAATAAATGCTCACTATAGGAAATCTGCAAAATACATCATAGGTAAAAAAATTACCAATAAGTAATCACCCAAAGTAACTTTTGATGACAATCTAGTAATTTTCTAATTATTTTATTTCTATTGTTTATGATTTATGACTACTCTATAAATGACAATCCTAGGGGCTGGAGAGATGGCTCAGTAGTAAGGGGCACTTGCAGCTCTCGCAGAGGACCTGAGCTCAGATCCCAGCACCCACATCAGTAGCTCACAATCACCTGCAACTCCAGCTCCAGGGGCCTAATGCTGCCTTCTGACCTCCAGGGTACGTGCCCAACATTTGCATATTCTCACACAGGCAGACACACAAACATAAATAAAATTTAAAAATAACAATTTTGAATCTTGTTTATTTAATTTAACAGAAATATTTCCTTTTTCTTTCTGTTTTGGCTTTTCAAGATAGGGTTTCTGTGTGTAGCCCTGCCTGTCCCAGAACTTGCTCTGTAGTCCAGGCTGGCTTGAAGCTCAGAGATTTGCATGCCTCTGCTGGGATTAAAGGTGTGCACCACCACAGCCCAGTTCCTTTTTCTTAAGACAGGCTTTCACGAAGTCCAGTGTAACCCCAAACTCACTATGTCCTACCTCCATCTCCCAGTGCTGGGTGCAGTATGACCTGCTCTAACAGTGTTCCAGTGGACATCCTTGTCTATAGGTCGTTTTCAGGCTGAGGGGTGGCTCATGATAGGATGCTCGCCTAGCACAGGAGGCCTTGGGTTCCATCCTCAGTGTCCCCAGTCAACAAACCCCTTCTCTCAGGCCACTTTCTCAGTATTAAGTCACAACTTTAGGCCACCATGTATAAATGTTTCTCATTTTTTGAAGAGCCCAACCATTTTTTTTCTCTATGTACAGTGTGTGCACACACGTGTGTGGGTGTGTGCCCTGAATCCACATGCAGAGGCTGGAGGATGCCAGATATCTTTCTTTGTCTCTTTCCAACTTATATTTTGAGGCAGTCTTGCTAACCCTGCAGCTCACCGTTTGGACAGAATCCAGCTGTCTCTGCCCCACTATACTGGAGTTACAGCTATGCACAGGAAATGTGGGTGCTGGAGGTTTGCATTTGAGTCCTCCTGCCTTCACAGCAAGCATTATCATCCACTGAGTCATCTCTTAGCCCCACAAATGTTTCTCAGCTCTTTATAAATAAAAAGCCAGTTTGTTTTCTCAAGGGTTTTCCTAGTTACCCTCCTTACAAGCAATATAGAATATTCAATTTGTTTTGGGATGGGCTTTTTGGGAGGGGGATCCTGAAATGGAGTGTCTTTCAATTTTTTTGTAATTTGGAAGATGAAAAATGGTATCTCATTTTAATTCGCATGATAATGATTTTTTAATGTGGTGGAACCGTTTTGGTCTTTGTGAGTGTGTGTGTGGTTTTTTGAGACAGAGTCTCTTTGCATAACAACCCTGGCTGTCCTGGAACTCACTCTGTAGATCAGGCTGGCCTCGAACTCACAGAGATCCACCTGCCTCTGCCTCTGCCTCTTGAGGACTGTGATTAAAGGCGTGCGCCAAGACCGCCTGGCCCCTTTTTGCTCTCCTGTGGCACCGAAGACTAAAGTCAAGGCTGCATGCAGTACTAAAGCTAGACTGAGCTGCATCCTTAGCCCTTGCTCTCCTCACCATGGCCCTAGGTGAGCACTCTAAAAGTGATCACTCTTTAACTGGCCACACCTCCTGGTATGAGAACTTTGTGTCTTATGTAGGGACGTACTGCCTTCAGTTACCTGCTGCTTTGTTCTTCTGGGCTACAGCAAAGACATTAACTTTCTTCTGATACATGTGCTGTTAAAGTTCCCTTTTCTTTAAAAATTTTGTTTGCTTTTAAACTTTGGTTACTTTTTAGAATCTCAAGTTTTAAACTTTTCTTTCTTGAAATAAAAAAAATATTGTTGATGTGTATGAGTATTTCCCTGAATATATGTCTGTCTACTACATAGGTATAGTGCCCACAGAGGCCAGAAGAGGGTATTGGATTCCCTAGATCTGGAGTTATAGACAGCTGTAGGCTGCCATGAGGTTACTGGGAACCAAACCCAAGTCCTCTGTGAGAACAGCAAGTGCTCTTTGTTGTTGTTTTTGTTTTGGTTGGTTGCTTGGTTTTGTGAAACAGGGCTTCTCTGAGTAGCCCTGGCTGTCCTGGAGCTTGCTCTGTAGACCAGGCTGGCCTTGAACTCAAGACATCCACCTGCCTCTGCCTCTCCGGTGCTGGGACTAAAGGAACTGCAGGAAGTGCTCTTAACAGCTGAGCCATCTCTCCAGTACTTCTGTTTCTGTGTGCTGGGTCTGGGTATGTGCCTGTGACGGCAGGTGACTGAAGAGGCCAGAAGATGGCACTGGATCCCCCTGGAGCTTGTGATCACCTGGAGTGAATCCTCTGCAAGAGAGTACCTGCTCTTAACAGCTGATCCATCTCTTTAGCCTCGGAATTTTCATTTTCCTGCAGTGGTAGAGATGAACCCAGGGCTTTACATATTCTAGGCAAGTGTAATAAAATTAACTTAGTTTTTAATCTTAAAATTTCATTTATTTAAAAGAATTTGGGTAGCAGTAGTTGAGTAGCCATGTAGCCCAGGGTTGCCTGGAATTCGCAATGTAATTAACCTGTTTGTCTTTGGTTCTTAATCCTTGGATTTCAGTCCTGAGTGCTGGGGTTGCAGGCGTGTGCTCCCACCCCAGGTTTAAGTTTTGTTGGTGGCAGTTCTGTGTGTTGTTTGTGAGATGGGACCTAGCTGTGTGGCCCTGGCTGCCCCAGCACTTACAAACCATGTAGTCTAGGGTGGCTTTGAACTTCCCATTCTCCTTCTCAGCCTCTCAGCTAAACTTTTTGTGGCTAAATCTACATGTCCCCCCTGCGGTCTGGTGTGTGTGTGCACTCCTATGTGCACGAGGACACATGGAGGCCAGAGGTGGATGTCAGGTGTCCAGGATGACTAGCTACCCAGTTCCAGCGGCCCCACCTGTCTGCCTCTTCTCTGGATTACAGGCATTCACTGTTGCAGCTGACTTTATGTGGATGAGAAAAATCCAAACTCAGGTCCTCAAGCTTGTGCAGCAAATACTTTCCCAACTGGACCTCCTTCCCCCTTCCCCCTAACACCCCACTCTTTTGTGATGTTTATTGCTTGAGTATTGTGTAATCCATATTCAACTGAATAACCATGTACGTACGCTTTATTCTGGGTTTGCAATGCTTTACTCAGCTTGTTTGTTGGGTTTTTGGTTTTTTGAGACAAGGTCTCTTTGTGTAGCTCTGGCTGTCCAGGAACTGATAATGTAGACCAGGCTGGCCTTGAACTCACAGAGTTCTACTTGCCTCCGCCTCCTGAGTGCTAGGATTAGAATCAGGTACTGATGTGCCTGCTGATTTAGTTTTAATAGTTAATTAATTATTCCATCTAGAATCTATTTCATAAGGATTAAATTGATAAAATGGGGCTACAGAAATGTTTCAGCAAGTAAAGGTGATTGTCACTAAGCCTGATGACTTGAATTTGGTCTCGGAGACCCACAGGATAGAAGGAGAGAATCAATTCCCACAAGTTTTCCCCCACCATATACTTATTCCTCTCTCTCCCCTTCCTCTCTCTTTCTCCATCTCTCACACACACATTAAATAAATATATAAATAAATGTAACTTGAAATGCTAAAATTATTTCCTCCCTTATAATTAACTAACCAATTTTCCCTATAATTTCTTCTACCCCTGGGTTAGTCAAGGCAAGGCAATACAAGTAGTTGTTTCTAGGGTGGGGCTTGTATAGTGCTAGTGACCTCCCAAGGCCTTGCATATGCTAGACTCACGGGCTCTATCCCTGAGCCACACTCCTACCCATTCTCGACTGTTTTAAACCCTCACAGCTTCCGGGTTTACTCTGACAGTCTCTTTACACCATGACACTAAGGCCAATCATCCGCTTGGCTTGCAAGCTCTGATGCCAGAAAAAGGGATGAAGAAAGGCAGCCACTTTCTTTAAGCATTCAAGTAAGAATAGTAAATCTGATTCAAATCCAAAACACTCGTTCCTGTTTCTGCTTGGGGGAGTCCCAGAGTTGGTTCCCGCTGTAGTGAACTCCACAGATGGCTCTAGGACTCCAAGCTCCTGAGGGAGAAAAGGAACTTTCAGGAACCAGAATTCAGTGTCAGCTGCAGCAGTAGAAAGTTGTCTAAGATTTATTTATTTTTATTTTATGTGTATGAGTGTTTGCCTGCGTGTCTGTGTACCATGTGTATGCTTGGTATCTTTGGGGATCAGAAAAGGGTGTCAGGTCCCCTAGAACTGGAATTACAGACGGTCGTGAGCTGTCATGTGGGTGCTGGGAATTGAACCCAGGTCCTCTGCAAGAGCAGCCAGTGCTCTTAACTGTAGAGTCATCTCTCCAGCCCCAGAGTTAGTATATTAGTATGTTTTCCTACAACATGATCCCAGCCAGTCTAAAAAAAAATTCCTCCAGCACGCTCAAGTTTAATTTTCGGATGTCTGCTAGCTCCACCTGTAACCCCCATGCTTGGGAGGGAGAAGCAGGAAGAGCACTGGGAGCTTGAAACCTTCTGAAGCCCTACATAGCAGGTTCCACACCAGCCACGGTCACAGGGCCAAACCCTGTCTCAAAAACAAAACCCACAGGAAAAATATCAGGGACACAAGAGGGAGTATCTGTTTCTGAGAGGCCATGAGACCAAGCCCAGCTTACTGAATGCTCTTCAGAGTCTGATGTCTGGGATGAGATGATAGGGTTAAAGCTGGTTGGAGACAAAGGGCCCAATTTTTTCCTCATAGCTCGGATCTGAAGCAGTGCCCGGAAGGCTGTGAAGAGGAAAGAAAACATCAGGACATCCTGTTTCAGGATTAAGAATGAGCAGAGCCCAGACAGAAACTATGCTCCCTTCAGTGTCCGCCATCTGCTACACCCAGCAAGTGCTCTGATGTTTCGTGTCCCCCTTTCCAGCCCTCACTGTCAGGCTCCTCCAGGACTCACGCAGCCGGCAGATGGGGCAGTTGTTGGCCTGGTAGCGCAGGGTGTCTGCGCAGGTGTTACAGAGGCAGAGGTGACGGCAGGGCAGGATCAAAGTGTCTCGGACATCCGAGAGACACACCACGCACTCCGCACTGTTATCGCTCACTTCGTCCTCGGCCACCTGGCCAGAAAGAGAAACCCAGCCAGTGACACAGAGCCTTCCACTGCCAGCTGACTTACAAGGAAGCTCGACTGAAGAGCAGACACATACTCAGAACAGGATCTACAATGACACTGAACTTTAGTTTATGTAGTGATTTTTTAAATTAGTTTTTATTTTATGTTAAGTGTATATATGTGCTTTGCCTTTTGCATGCCTTGCACTTGCAGATGCCAGAAAAGGGCACCAGACCCCCTGGGGCTAGAGTTACAGACAGTTGTGAACTGCCACAGGGTGCTGGGAACTGAACCTGGTCAACTGAAGAGGAGCCAGTTCTCTTAACTGCTGAGCCCTCTCTCCAGCCCCGGGCAGGGCTTTTGATACTTGGCTCCCCCTGCCTCTAGGAACTGCTTGCCTGAAGTTGAGAGACTGGACTAACTCCCTGAGCTCATTCTTCCTCTGAAGGTCTGAACAGAAGGGACCTAGAAGGACACAGAGATGAAGGTGAAGGGAAAATGCGAGACCCTCCTGAGAAGCAGAGCTCAGATGAGCTCCAGAGCAGAAAGGCAGGTCCAAAGCAGCCTATTTTGCTCATTTCTAAAGTGGCATAACTGATCATCTAAAATGAGAATCTCCTAGGACCTGGCTGGCACACTAAACCTCAGCAGAGCACAGATTTTCACTTTGCCTCCAAGGAAGAACAAATCCCGAATTTTTAACAAAACTCACCTTAGAATCTTGTGTGTTATACTTGTTTTCAATCCCGTAGATCTCCTGGAGGAGGTAGCTGACCCCATCTACCTGAATAGCAAACAGTGAAGTCCAAGAACAGCTCACTACTGTGAGACAAGAGTAGAAGCCCCGCCTTTCCCCATGAGCCACCATGGAAAAACTCAAGGGTCTACATAGAGAAGGGACATTTTCATTTACTTACGTTTGCATTTGGGAGGAATGTAACATTTTACAAACTATCATGTGTAGTGCAGCTCACTACTCCAGATAGTTACAAACGGCATAGACTCAAAAGGGGATGGAAGGGTGTATGTCAGAGTGAAAGCGTTCGTTGTGTAAGAAAATTCCAGCTCTAATAGTTGTATAGATGGCCGAAATGTGGCTCAGCTGGTGGAGCATTTGCCTAGAATGCACAGCGTCCTAACAACACATAAACTGGGTGTGGTAGTGTGTGCCTGTAATCCCAGCAATGGAGAGACAGTGGTCAGAGGATCAGAAGCTCAGTGTCACCCTCAGCTCCATGCCTAGTTTGAGGCCAGTCAGGGGTACATCAAACTAAACAAAAAGGAAGGGAAAATAATGGGCAAGGAAAATGAGGAAGGGGAGAAAGGGAAGACACAAACAGATGTGGTGGTACATGCCTGTAGTCCTTACACTTGAGAAGCTAAAACAGAAGGACCTGTCATGAATTTGAGGCCAGCCTGGACTACACAGCAGTATCAGGTCAGACTCCACCTCAATAAGAAAAGATAAAGAGCCAGGTGGTGGTGGTGGCACACGCCTTTAATCCCAGCACTCGGAAGGTAGAGGCAGGCAGATCTCTGTGAGTTCGATGCCAGCCTGGTGTACAGAGTGAGTTCCAGGACAACCAGGACTGCTACACAGAGAAACCCTGTCTTGACAGGGAGATGCAGGACTTCTGACCTGGGAAGAGACACTAAAAATGGATACCCATAAAACCACACTCATCTCTTTTACTATTTTATAATAAAAGATTATTTTTGTGTGTTTGTATGTGTACTTGAGTGCACACATGTGTACCATCTATGTGCAGGTGTGTTAATGGAGGCCCAAAGACAGGATGTGATTCCCTGGAGCTGCAGTTACAGGCAGTTGTGATTCACCTGATGTGGGTGCTGGGAACTGAAGTAGGCCCTTGGAGAGCAGAAAGTGATTTTAACTGGGCTAGCTCTCCAGCCCAGCCCTCCCACTTCTCTTCCAATCTTTATATTTTATTATTATTATTTTATGTATGTGAGTATGGGTCCGGGCATGCCACAGAGAATAATGTAGAGGTTCAGTGGAAAGCTTTTAGGAATTGGCTCTCTCCTTTCCACCATAGGTTCAGAAATCAAACTCCGGTCACTAGACTTCTATGGCAAGAACCTTTACCTACTGAGCCATTTTAAAACCTTAATTATCTGTGCCTAATCCTACTCTATGAGACTAGGCCTTACTAGTGCCAAAGGTGGCTTTGCCCTTCTCTTTAGAATTCTACTCCTATATTCTATCTCACCTCTGCTCCTACAGACCTAGCCTAGTTCTGATCTCCTACCCAACTCTCGATATTGACAGTCTGTTGCTAAGACAAACCTAGAAACAGGTGTAGTAGGAGGCCACTTGTTCATTTGGGCGCCAATTTGTTGTAAGATGCTGCTTGTTTGTTCCCAGCTGCTCAGCCCCGAAATAACCACACAGAAACCATATTACTTGCAATACTGTTTGGCCAATAGCTTAAGCGTATTTCTGGCTAACCCTTATGTTAAATTAACACATCTCCATTAATCTGTGTATAGCCACGTGGCTGTGGCTTACCAGGTAAAGTTCCAGCGTCTGTCTCTGGTGGGGCTACATGGCTTCTCCTGGCTCCACCTTCTTTCTCCCAGTATTCAGTTTAGTTTTCCCAGCCTAACTAACTCTATTCTACCCTATCATTGGCCAATGGAGCTTCTTTATTCATTAACCAATAAAAGCAACACATATATAGAAGGACCTCCTACATCAAACAGGAAAATATATAAAACATTTTACTGTAGAAACCGTAGCCTTTTAAATTGCCAGGGCTGAGGCAACTCACCAGGGCTGGGCCTATGCAGGTAGAACCTGCACTTGGGACCTGTGGCTTTTTCTGCTTCTCTTAAAACTCGTTTTAGCATAGCAATTGTGTTGAAAGGCACAAATCAACTAATTCATACTAATGAGTTATTAATTATTATCAATTTCATTAAGAGGGGCAAGTACTTAACTAAAAAAAGTGAGTACTTTGGGATTTTGGATATCTACCATCCTTCTGTAGGGGGCCTTCCTTTGTTTGTTGATAACAAAGGCAAGCTTGCCCCCCACCTTTCTCTGCTACCCTCCCTCCACCATGCTATTCCCCACTTGTTTTCTGAAGGTCTCTCTGTGGTCTCAGCTATTCTGGAGCTCTCTATGTAGACCAGGCTAGCCTCAGACTCACAAGATCTTCCTGCCTCTGCCTTTCAAGTGCTGAAATTAAAGGCACGTGGCAGCACACCCAGCTTGATCACCCAGTTTTTTCAAACCATTCTTTTTTTCTTTTGTTGAGACAGTGTCTTACTCTGTAGCTCAGGTTGGCTTAGAACTTACTGTAGCTGAGGTTGGCCTAGAACTCCAGGCAATTCTCTAGCCTCTGTCCCCCTAATGCTGAAATTAAAGGCATAAGCCACCACCTGTATCTCCGACCCTCTTTGCCAATGCCACCGGCTACACTTATCCCCTATCTTCTATGGCATCTGCTCCTACTGTTGCAAAAGTACAAACTGTTGGCACACGGTAGGGCTCGGCCTCCCAGCAGGCATGTGCAATCCTGCTGGTGGCTCCTGGAGAGGGCAGATGTCCAGTAAACTGCATTTCAGAAAAGAAACGCTAGGATAATTTATGCTGAGGGCTCTAATTGGCTCTGAATTAGACCCAATACTTCATCCTTTTGTTTGAAATGTTTCTCATCATGACATTTTAAGTAAAAAGAATTCTCCTTCACCCTAATGTCAGGAGACAAATCTTATTCTTTCACTTCTCAAGATAACTGTACCCTGGGAGGCACCAACAATTCCAAAACAATAAAGGCACTAAAAGTCAGTGTTCCTTTCAGGCCACCCACATAGTTCCTAACAGACAAAAGTGCTCCTGTCCCAAAATCGTCTTCTCTGAGTGAGAGAAAGTAGGAAAGAAAGAGAGAAGGAAAGAAGAGGGGAAGGAAACAAGAGTATGTAGTTTTAAAAGTAAAAAAAAAAATGAAAAAAGAAAACAAGAGGACACGTTTCTAAGAGCTTCTGGCCTTTAAATACTCACCACTTGCTTCTGCTTGAGGGGCTTAACACAGAAGGTCCCATCCGTGTGCTGGAATAAAAGCACAATGTTACAACCAGCAGAGAGGACTACTTTCTTATTACCCGCTGGGGTGTGGGAGTCTGAATGTAACTGGCACCCATAATCTCTTAGGGAGTGGTACTATTAGGAGGTGTGGTCTTGTTGGAGGAAGTCACTGTGGGTGTAGGCTTTGAGGTTTCCCATGCTCAGGATACTGCCCAGTGTCTCAGTTGACTTCCTGCTGCCTGCAAGATGTGGGACTCTCAGCTACTCCTCCAGCACCACATCTGCCTGCACACTGCCATGTCCCACCATGATGATAATGGACTGAACGTCTGAACTGTAAGCAAGCCACTCCAATTAAATGTTTTTCCTCATAAGGGTGGCCTGTAGTCATTGTGTCTCTTCACAGCAATAAAAATCCTAACTAAATCACTGGGCATTCACAGAGAGAAGAAACAGACTTGGAATATGGCAAGAGTGGAGTAGTGACCAGCTAGATCACTCATTTGATGAAGAGGACACTGAAGATCATGGCAGTGGGGGTGGCAGAGCTAAAAATTCCTGAGCACAGTCCCAATGGGGCACCCTTTCAGCAGAGGGGCCTCATGAGAAAGAAGAACAAAAAATATCTTAAAGTTACCTACCTTCTCAAAGGTGCCCAGAAGCACATGGCAGTGGCCAAAATACTCTGAAAGAAACAGGCATGTGTTTGAAAAAGGCCAAACAACACACTGCTAGCCCTCTCCCAAATTCTTGTTTCTCCACAACCCACAGTTTGGTAGACCAACGGTGCCGGGTTACCAGAACAGGCACATTATAGATACCATTAAAAACCCCACTTCTCAGGCTGGAGAGATGGCTCAGCAGTTAAGAGCACTGGCTGTTCTTCCAAAGGCCCTGAGTCTAATTTCCAACAACCACATGAGGCTCACAACCATCTATAATGAGATCTGGTGCCCTCTTCTGGCCTGTAGGCACCCATGCAGACAGAACACTGAATACATAAATAATGTATACAGTCTGACTGAGACCCACAGCTTCTGCTGGGATGGTATCACAAGAGGGAGCAGGCACAGCAGAGAAGTCCCCTACCATCTCCTTCATCCACCACAGCATGCACCACCAGAGGGTAAACCTCCCGGTCCAGATCAAAGCCGAGCTGCAGGAAAGACAAGGAAGACACAGAAGACGCCACATGGTTGGATGCTCATGGGTCCATCAGAAGGGGGTACTGCTCAGAAGCACTGCCCTCAGCTCTGCAACCCGTCCATCAAACCTGCAGCTGCCCACATCTGCCTAACTGATAACCATCTAGTTCCTAGAATAAAGGTCCCTAACCTTTTTGCAGCTCCCCCCCCCCTTATCTTTCTTTTAAGCTTTCTCACAGTACCCTCAGCTAACAGGTTACTTAGGGGTAGAAAAATGAACAAGAACAGGTATATTTTTTTATTTTCTATTTTTTGCTTTTGTTTTGTTTTAGTTTAGTTTGGTTTGGTTTTTCGAGACAGGGTAGCTTTGGAGCCTGTCCTGGACCTAGCTCTTGTAGACCAGGCTGGGCTTGAACTCACAGAGACCCGCCTGCTTCTGCCTCCCGAGTGCTGGGATTAAAGGCGCGCACCACCACTGGACAGGTATATTCTTTTTTTTTTTTAAATATTTATTTATTTATTTAGTATACAATATTCTGTCTGCTTATATGCCTGTAGGCCAGAAGAGGGCGCCAGACCTCATTACAGATGGTTGTGAGCCACCATGTGGTTGCTGGGAATTGAACTCAGGACCTTTGGAAGAGCAGGCAGTGCTCTTAACCACTGAGCCATCCCTCCAGCCCCCGACAGGTATATTCTTAATGTGAACTAAGCAGACCTTTGAAAGGCATGAGGGGCCACCAGACTTACCAGTGAAGCATGGCATTCCAGCATCTGGACAGAGTTCCCGCGGCTGGCATGAGCCCTAGGTCAGTGCCTGGGCCCTTCTGAAGTGATGGCGGACCCTGAGCGAGGTAACTTACCTCCTCTTCTGCCCACTCCGAGGGGTCCACAGTGTGAGAGGGCAGGCAGAACTGCTGGCACACCCCCCGCTTGTAGTGCACGGTCTCCGACTGCAGGCTGTTGTCTTTTGGAATGTAGCTATGGGTGAAGTGGGAGCAGAGCTAAAGTTAGAACTCAGTCCAGAAGTCTAACAATTCTCACGGTCTCACTCCTGTTCTCAATTTCCAACAGCACTAACTCAGAAAGACCTTCTTCTTTTTGCTTGAACCTGGACTATTACTGGGCTCATATATTTAAACCATACATCCACAGGAAGAGAGCTAAAATAAAGAGTAAAGATTGGAAAAGAAAATTAAACTCAATGTCCAGACTCTGCCTGATGTAAAGAAGGTTTTCCTTCCTAGGTGGGCAGGAAGGCCAGGAAGCAAGCAGCTTACCTGATGTGCTAGCTTACCTGGCAATCCCATTTTGGAATTCTTCAGTGGCCTGATAGTAGATGGTGATGGCTACCCGGGCATCTGTGTCAAAGGTGAACTCGACATTGTAGTAGACCTTAGCTTTGCCCGCCTCTTCCCCATGGCTCTTTACTTCCTCAGCACATCTGAGAAAACATAATCCCCCCACAATTACAATCCCCCCAGATATAATCTCCACATAATCACAATCCCCCACAAACACAATCACCCCACAAACACAATCCCCCCACAAACACAATCTCCACACAATCACAATCCCCCCAAAAACAATCGCCCCAAACACAACCCCCCCACAAAACAATCTCCACACAATCACAATCACCCCAAACACAATCCCCCCACAAACACAATCCCCCTACAATCACAATCCCCCCATAATCACAATCCTCCCTTTGGAGGAAGTGGGTCAGGATTTGTGTTGTTGTTTTGTCTATTTTTCAAGGCAGGGTTTTTCTGTATAGCTCTGGCTGGCCTGAGATCTGCCTGCCTCTGTGTCCTGAGTGCTGGGACTAAAGGTGTACGCTACCGTTGCCCATCAGGGATCAGAATTTTAAGAAGATTTACTCTTCGGGCTGGAGAGATGGCTCAGCAGTTAAAAGCACTGGCTACTCTTTCAGAAGCCCCAGGTTCGATTCCCAGCACCCCACATGGCGGTTTACACTTGTCTGTAACTCCAACTACAGGGGATCTGGCACCCTCACACAGGCACACATTCAGGCAAAACGCCAAAATAAATAAATAAGAATATTCTGGGTGGCCGGAAGGTGGTGGTGCACATCTTTAAACCTAGCACTCAGGAAGCTGAGGTAGGCATATCTCTGTGATTTCAATGCCTGCCTGGACTACAGAGCGAGTTCCAGGACAGCAAAGGCTACACAGAGAAACCCTACCTAGAAAACAAACAAACCACCCTTACTCCTCTTTAGCCCCCTAAAACAACACTGCACACCTGGCTGTTTGGAATGACATATTTGTGTTTTTGCTGTAGCTATCACTGTGTTGTCTGCTGGACATTTAGACTATTCACTAGGTCCTGCTGTCCGTGGGGAATAAACGGCCTGTGTGAGTGCGTGTGCCTCTCACTTTATCACTTTTCACTTTAGTGACGATCACTAATTACGCCTGAGTTCCCACAGGCTGTTGGAGACCAGCAGGCCCCTCCCTTCCTCTCCTCCTCTACACTGCAAGTGCGGCATGCACTTAGCTCCACATCTGAACAGCACGCCCTGTTGCTAAGTCTTGTTTTTATTGTTTTTATCTGCTCCCTCCCTTTCTCCCCTCTCCTCTTCCACCCTCTCCAGTGACCACCATACTCTGAATTTACTCAGGAGACCTTGTCTTTTCCTCCAGCCTATGTAGATCCATGTATGTCTCTCTTAGGGTCCTCTTCACTGTCTAGGTTCTCTGGGGTTGTGGACTGTAGGAAGTCATTTATAAGTAAGTACATATTATAATCTTTCTGGGTCTGGGTTACCTCACTCAGTACGATTTTTTTCTAAAGGTCCTCTTTTTTTTTTTTTTTTTTTTTTTTTTCCCAAGAAGAATTTCTCTGCAGCTTTGGAGCCTGTCCTGAAACTCACTCTGTAGACCAGGTTGGCACTAACTTACAAAGATCCACCTGCCTCTGCCTCCCAAGTGCTGGGGTTAAAGGTGTGTGCCACCACTGTCCCTGTTATTGAGTCTTGTCAGTCTTTAGGCACCGTCTACTGACTTTCTACTGCTGACATAGTTTGTCTCCTTCCTCCCTCTGACCCACGCAGAGCTCTGACATCTCCACACTGCAGGGAAGTCACAACCCTATTAGCACAGCACCTAGCTGTGTTGCTGTGATTTCACAAAGGCTATTTACAGCTTGACACAGAGGAAGCTACGGTTGGCCTTCTTTTCCTGCCTAACTCCCCGAAGGGAGGACTCACTGGCCTTTTTAGTCCTTTGGTTTTTCACATACTTATCCTGAATTTCAACCCAAACTCTCTGACAGCCTACTGCACGCCTACAGACATCCAGATGCATAGGAGTCCACTTAGCTTGTCAGCCCCCAATAGTGTCCTGCAGCAGAGCCCAGGTTGGCCTCAACACTATTCTGCCTCTACCTCCTGGGTACATGTCACCATGACCAACTTAAAGTAGGATTTTATATCCTAACTTGAACACCTTACTACTCCATAGCTTGTTAGGGTATCTGCAGACTTCAGCCCTTCCCTTAATAATAGTTCTTTTCCCTTTGTTTTAGATCCACAGAATACAGATAATATTTAAAATGCCTGGGCTGGTGAACGTTCTTTCTGTACAGAACGGTGCCCACGTTTCAAATTACACAAACACGACAAGGCCTTATCTTAGGGCCCGTGCCTCAGCAGCGCCTGGCAGCTGGCATCCTTCAGACACAGGCAGGAGGCTGTGGGCCCTAGCAGAAGCTGCTCTTTGACTCCCATAGAGCGTCTGTTGCCCCACGAGCAGAAGGGCACTTGGGACCTGGTCTGAGCCCTCAGGAACTTACTTGACAAGCCTCAGCGTGTCCTTTCGGATGTTGATCAGGCTTCTGAGAGTCTTCACAGGTTCTTGGGGAGGTGGAGCAGCGTAAGGAAACTGTCAGACACAGAGTGGGAGAAGCAGTGTATTTATAGAGACCATAACTGTCCCCAACTGGAAAGGGGCTCTGGGATAAATGAAAAACAGCACTGTGAAGAGAGGCAAGAAGGAGCAGCCGAACTCTAACTGAGGAGGCGGCTCTAACAGAGTAAATCAGCTTGTTTAAGGTCAGTGCTAATAGGAAAACCAGCATTTAATATAATATCCAAAAAAGCAAGATTTATCTGCTTCCACCTCCCACCCTCCCATATACACGAAGCTCATTTGGGTTAGTGTTCAACTATTGGAGAACTAAATAGAAAAAAAAGCCAACTCCCTACTGAAATTCTAAATAACAAAGGACTTACTGTGGCCAAGTTTACCACAAAAAGCTTTCCATTTAACCTCAGATGACAGAAGAACCTACAAGTTCTTTTCCTTCAGGGAGGACACACAGGATCCTAAGAATTTAGGGAGTGAGAATAAAAGAGAAGCCCATCAAGTGTGCAGGGCAGAGGCTTGCAAACACCAAAGGACAAATCCCTCAGATGATCACACAAGGCAGTGTAGACAGGAGCCTAGAGGCATGTGGGTTGGTGGAGGCTGGGCTGGCTTCATCATTTGTACACATTTTCTTTCCCCATCTGAACCTTCCGATGCAGAGTTCTGAGACAGTGATAAAGGGGAACAGAAGACTTTCACTGGGGATGGCAAAATGTTCTCAGTACTCTTGTTCTTCAGGCAATACAGTTCAAGGGTCTCTCAACATGCTCCATGAGGTAATGTGTTCTGAGAGACTGTCTCTGCTGGGACACACAAAGACAGCTATGAGAAGGCTAGGCGGTGTTATCTACCTACCATCATAGACGCTGACTGTCCCTGCTGGGTCACAGGAAGCCTACTGGTCTCAGTAGCTCCGCAGTACATTGTGGGTCTCCAGGCCCCACAACTGTCCCTCCACAGTGCTGGCGTCAGGAAACAGGACGCCACGTTATGCTCTAATCATGCCTTCAGACATTGACTAAATATGGCTATTTTTATTGGGAAAACAACTTAAATCAAAATAAAGTACAATTGACTTTCAATGCTGTCAATGGGATTTCTGATAATTCACATATTTGACTATGACACTTAAGAAAACACATTCACACACCTTTAATCCCAGCACTTGGGAGGCAGAGGATCTCTGTGAGTTCAAGGTCAGCATGGTCTACAAAGTGACTTCCAGGATATTAGGGCAACACAGAGAAATCCTGTCTTGAAATACAAGAAAGAAAGAAAGAAAGAAAGAAAGAAAGAAAGAAAGAAAGGAAGGAAGGAAGGAAGGAAGGAAGGAAGGAAGGAAGGAAGGAAGGAAGGAGGAAGGAAGGAAGGAAGGAAGGAAGGAAGGAAGGAAGGAAGGAAGGAAGGAAACATTCAACAGGGCAATGGTGGTGCATGCCTTTAATCCCAGCGCTCACAGAGGCAAGCCAATTTCTCTGAGTTTGAGGCTAGTGTGGTCCACACAGTGAGTTTCAGGACAGCCAAAGCAACATAGTGAGACACTGTCCCCCAAGCCCACCCCCCCCCCAAAAAAAAGAAAGAAAAAGAAAAGAAACATTCTCAAATGTCTGAAAGTGGAACTACTAGATCTCAGAGTAGCATGGTTTTAAAACAGTCATCTGGATGTGATAGAACAAGCCTATAATAAATACCTACATAAGGAGGTAGAGGCAGAAGAATAACAAGTGAAGATTGGTGCTTATTTTTATTACTGCTTAAATTTTTATTGTAATTTATGTAGGACTGGGGGCACACTTCCACAGCACATGCATGTGGAGGTCATAAGACAACTGACAAGGCCATGTAGGTCCCAGGGACCTAATTCAGCGTTAGAAGCAGGTACCTTTCCCTGCTGAGTAATCTCTCTGGCCTTTAGCTTCTGTTTTGTTCTGTTTCTTGAGACAGTGTCTCATATAGACAAGAATAACCTTAAACTTCTGATTCTCCTGTCTCTCAGTCTCTCAAAGTGCTGGGATTATAGGCATGTGCCACAAACAGCTATAAAAGACTTTGTTGATACATAAGCAAATATGTGTGTGTTTATTTGTGTATGTATGTATGTATATGAATGTGTGTATGTGTGTATATAAATATGTGTATAAATGTGTATGTATGCGTATATGTATGTGTGTATATGTATGTATGTATTTATGTGTGTATTACTAATGAAAGTTGCTTTTTAATGACAAAGCATTATATGATCAAGCAGAGAGCTTTAAAAACAAAATGTACAAGATCACTCGTGATTTTATCACAATATTGAAGTTAGCAATGTTTTTGCGGAATGTATTTCTGCCCCTTCTTCACTGTTTCCCAGTGTATATGACTAGAGGTCTCCTTCTCTTTTAGAAGCACATGGCAAACATTGGCACCACATACAGACAGCTGCATTCTTTATTTAAACAGTTGGTTTTAACTTCTTTGCTGATGTGTGTTGTAGATGCCCTTGTCCCTGCATTCTGCATGCTTGTTTGATTATTTCCTTGGGACAAATTCCTAGGAGTGGAATTACTGGATCAAAGAGTAAGCATATTTTTAAGACTTTAAAAGTCATTTTGCCAGACTGCTCTGTGAAGAGCGTAACAGGAGGCTTTAGTACAGGGAGACGGAAATTCTAGTCCAGCTCCCATCTGTGGCCCATTTCGTCACCCCCTACTTCCTAGGCTGCCATTTAAAGGAATTTAAAACAATCTTAAATAGCTTAAGCAAAAAGTCATTAGGCACGAGAATCTGACAAAAGCACTAAGTCCATTCTAAAGCCAAAATAAATGACTTTGGGATTAACATTTTTTCCTGGAGTAGCAAAGTTAATCATTTCATTTGTGCAGGTACTGGGTCCTTTTAAAAAACTCTTCTGGAGAAACCCAAAGCCCTGATATAAAGAGCTTTACGGGCCCTTATTTATTTATTTGCTTTTTTTTGAGACAGTGTCTCTCTAGGTAGTCCTGTTTGTCCCAGAACGGGCTATGTAGTCCAGGCTGGACTTGAACTTAAAGAGATCTACTTGCCTCTGCCTTCTGAGTGCTGGGATTTAAAGCATGCACTACCACTGCCCAGTTTTATGTAGTATTTTTTTTTTAATTATTTTTGGTTTTTCAAGCCAGGGTTTATCTGTGTAACAGCCCTAGCTGTCCTGGAACTAACTCTGTAGACCAGGCTGGCTTCTAACTCACAGAGATCTGTCTGCCTCTACCTCCCAAGTGCTGGGATTAAAGGTGTGCGCCACCACCATCTGTCTCAACCTAACTTTTTAATCAGAAAACTTGGTAAAAACAAATCCTTGGGGTTGGAGAGATGGCTCACTGGTTAAGAGAACAGGTTGCTCTTTCATCCAGAGGTCCTGAGTTCAATTCCCAACAACCACATAGTGGCTCACAACCATCTGTAATGAGATCTGGTACCCTCTTCTGGCCTGCGGGCATATATGCAGGCAGAACACTGTATACATAATAAATAAACAAACAAACAATCACACAAAAAACTCCAAATCCTCCTAGTGGGATCAAATGTGGATAATTTTCAACATAACAAAAAAGAAAATATAAGTAAACATTAAACTGAGTACCTACTATGTGCCATATTCTCCTCCCCACTTCTGTGTGTATGTATATGTTCACATGTGTGCAGGTGCGGATGTGTATGGGTGTTTGTGCGTGCGGAAGAGGCTAAGGGACAACTTCATCTACTACTACTCCCCACTTCTGTGTGTATGTATATGTTCACGTGTGTGCAGGTGCAGATGTGTATGGGTGTTTGTGCGTGCGGAAGAGGCTAAGGGACAACTTCGTCTACTACTCCTCAGGAGTCATCCACATTTTTTTGAGGCAGGGTCTCTCACTGGCCCGAAGCTCACTGATTTGGCGGTCCATTGGTCAGTGAGCCTTGGGGAGCCTCATGTTTTCACCTCCCACCACTGAGAGCACGATCATGTGCCACCATGCCCAGCCTTTTTATGTATAATCTTGGAACTGAACTCAGGTACTCAGAACTTTACCATCCTTGTTTTACTTTTTTTTTAAATTATGCTAGGCAGTGATGATGCATGCCTTTAATCTCAGCACTTGGGAGGCAGAGGGAGGCATAGTTCTGTGAGTTCGAAGTCAGCCTGATCTACAGATCAAATTCCAGCATAGCCAGGGATACACAAAGAAACCCTGTCTCAAAAAACAAAAACAATTTAAAAAAAAACTTATGGTAAAATATACATACCTACATAACATGACCTTTACATTTTAACTACTTCCATGCACGCGGTCCAGGGGCATTAATCATAGTCACATGCATGTTGTTCAGCCATAGCCACCATCTAGTCCTAGGTCAATATACTCTTATTTCCTATTCCTAAAATGAGTCACATCTCTTCTCTCACCAGTCTGTGAGCTCCTGGAGAAGAGACCAGAACAGAAGAGAAGCTCAAACTCCGCTGCCGACTGAACAAATGAAGAATGTCAATGTTAACACCCCGTTTGGCAGACAAAGAAACAGACCAAGCTAGGTGTGTAACTCAGTGTACAAGGCTTGGATTCATAAGAAAAAAAAAAAGCAGCTGAGACTCAGAAGGTTCCAGAGCTAAGGAGCAGTAAGGAGAAACATGATTGGAACCGATGAGCATGTGGGAAACCTTTTCAAACAAGCTCCACGCCAGTTCTGGAGGCAAGTCAAACGCTCTAGAACAAACCCTGTACTTAGACTGCATCAGGTACACATGAATAGCTTCTCCTCTACATGTTAACGAGAACATGTGAGGTCTCCACTGAGAACAGTTTTCTTAGAGCACAGCATGTCAAACCTCTGTCTGTGAGATCTAATGGAAACTGCAGAAGATTAGCAAAGGACATTTTGGCCACGGCGATGTGGGAAGACATCACCAGCAGCTTGCCCCAAATGCACAAAGGTGTGCTACTGATGGACATTTCTAAGTCATGGTGATTCTCCCCTAAGGTTTTTATTTGCTGGCCTCGAACTCAGAGATCCAC